CATTGTCTGCAACTGCGCCCCAAAAATTGCTGAATAAGTTATGCAGCTGTCCAACCAAAGGAGCTAATATGTCCCTGAAAAATCCGAAAATAATCAAATAAAAAAAAAATCAATACTCAATAACCGACTGTGAATAGCCGCCATCTATCAGATCAAAAGCAAGTCCGCAAGGAAAATCGGTGTGAGTACCTGATAATGCTGCAATGATTTTGCCAGGATCTGGCACAGTAACTACAGATGAAAATAAAGAGCCGGTAACTGCACAGTACCTTTTCATTACTCATTAATCTGCATTTTTTAGCTGAAATTCAAGTTTAATACTTGTGCCTGAATCAGCAATAATTAATAATAGTAAAGCACAAAAAAAAAAATAATTGGTCAGTGTATCGACTGCCAGTGCGAAGATGAATTTTTTGCACAATTCACCACAGGTTTCTGTCGCTAACGGCATCGGTTTTCCCGGCAGATGCTTCTAGCTAAAAGAACTGAGACCGGCAATCACGACTGTCAGAAAATATCCTCTTAAAATTTTAGCTTTCTAGCTTTTCTGGTTCCCGAATTAAAAACTTACCTACCAAAAATTTTTGCGGGTTCGTACGTGAGAACATGAGAATGATTGTCCATTTTGGGGTAGGGGGCCATACATGCGTACAAATAAATTGTCGAAGTTTCAGCTTTGCAGTTTTTCTAGGTCTCGAGATGAAAAATCGATACAGACCGCGCACAGACAAAAATGCACATAGACAACCCCTCGACAATATGCATTTTTGCATTGCATACATACCAAAAGAACATCAAAAAAACGAATTATAATGATACTGAACCATTATCGTGGCATAACGAACCACAATGTAAGTAGTTTATAAATAAAGCACTGGTATATCTTTACGCATCAAAAACTTACAACTTTTTTTGCATTGCTGTATCAAGCAAAAGCAGAAGAGTTTGTGTGTTATTTAAATGCACATCGCCATCGATCATTACAAGGAAATCGCTGCCCAATTCCAAGCTGTGCCTCCTGAAACAGTTTCATTTCAGTGCCACCACATTCGTACGATAAAATTAAAACCTGCTGTTGAAGTAACATACATGCATGCTAGAAATTCTTATTTCTTAAGCAGTTTTTTGATAACTTCTATTATTATTACTATTACTGTATTTGTTTTTATTTTTAAAAGTTAATGACATTACTCTGTTTTGTACCACTTTACATTACCCCCTACTAAATATTTCTTAGTTTTTGTCACACAGTTCAAAAAAGCTCGAGGAAAAATGAAAATACTGTACAGAAACGAAGCCTGATGGAAGAGCAAAGTGCGTACTCATAAAACATATGAAAAGAGAAGGGCGATGGATGAAGATGTATAAAGCAACAAAAAAAAAATTTTTTTTGACGGGATTCAAGGGCGATTCACTTCACAGCCGATGGCAAAACATGGAAAAGTTGTCAGCTAAAATAACTGGGCATAAGCAAGCGACCGGATAAATTTGAAATATATAAGTTTTGTAGGGGAAAATAAGAGCAAAAATATGAGATATACAGAAGTATCAATCGGCTTGTGGAACTAAAGAATCCCTAAGAAAAAACAGCTGATCACGTAACAAGACTGACAGGCAAAAGACACAAAACGAGTGCGTCCAATGACCAGTAAGAATGCCGCCGGCGTATTGGATCCATTTACTAAATGTTTGGAGTTTTGTGTGGATAGGAAAATACAAGATCTCAGTCGAAACGGCTGCGCAGTTGGAGATCCGGACTATGAATTAACAGCTATTCCAGATATTTCTGGTACGGCAGAGAGCAGAACCTCGATAGCATCAAGCAAAACGGGATGGAAATAAAAAAAAATTCGAAAAAAACCAGTACTGCACTAAACAAAAAAACGGAACGAACACGGAAAACGCACGCGCTTCACGCTCTCCAATATCGACTGAGCTATCGTCGTAGATTACTGATCGATAATGCTCTTTTGCTTCCTTCACAAAAATATCGGCCTGAAAAGCTTGCCCATATAATTTATGCAGCCATGCATCGCCATCTTCCAGCGCCACGCCTGCTTCCTCTGCCTAGCGCTTCCCATCTCAATCGTCTTTACTTAAACAGCAATTTCAAAGAAACGAAATGCTTTTGTTAAAATGATTTTATGTTCACAAAAATTCAACTTTTATAAAAACCAACAGATTTCATCATTTCCCCTTTCCATTTTTATTCTACAAAATATCCTTTGTTTTGTGTGAACATATGCTTGTAGGTTACAGATGCTGTAACAACTTCGTGTTTCTAGTCCATAAGGTACCTCACCACTGTGACCTAGCAAACGACAGCGCCCGAGACGCAGTGGAAACTTTTAACACGCCTTGGGGATATTTCAAAACGGCTAAAGCCTGGTAAAGTACCTCCCATACTGGGAGTGCCGCTAAGGTGGCAATTTTTTCTAAAGATGAAACGAAGACCAGAACTGGCAGAGGGCTGATCGCAGGACGGTGCAACTGGAAAAACTGTAAACGGCAGATTCTGGAGTACCAGAGAATCGCAGATAATCCAAGCAAACAAATGTTTCATTCATAAACACTTCATATTTTTATCATTTTAACATGTGAAAAAACTTCCCTTTTATCGTTCTTGCGCATTTTCTGAGGGGAAATTATCGGTGCTGGAAAACGCAGATGGCAAAGTAACTTCAATTCTTACCTCTTTTTCCATGAATTTCTGATTGCAATATACATAGAGGTCAATTTGCGCACTATTATATGACAGCTTTTTGATGTTTTCAAAAAATTCGCGAATAAAAGGAGTCGGCTTGGAAAGAAAGATTGAAAGTAATAATTTTGGTAAATCCATTTCCGTCGTACTCTAAAAATACAATTTTTTTTTTTAAATAAATGCACATCTGCATAAATTACTAAATCTTATTTTCAAATGACACCAAAATGTCAATGCGCAAAAAAGGACTGTACAAATAGCGGCGCACCGTAGCAGGGTAATCATGCGATCATGCAATTGCGCAGTTCCGTCCAGCGAACGTTTGCTGTTAAGAATGTTCAGTGGCTTATAGTTTGGTGTATGCAAAAAATAGCCGTAGCGCTTATTTGGTCTCAGTACCATGAAATTTCCTATCGAAAATTCCACGTGCTCATACGTGAAGCTTAAACCTTCGTGAGAGGACATGAATCTGTAAGATGCGCGTGAACAGAAACCAATGTGCAGTGATTTTAGCTTTTTGTTTTGACTAATTCTTAAACTAAAAATTTTTCAAGTAAAACTTCATGTATGCATACGTAGAGTCTTGGAAAATGTATTTGAAATTTCAAGAATGCGCTTCGACATGAAACACAATCTAATATTTTTAGCTTTCCATCTTGTTCCGTCCTTGGGGCAGAAAAATCCCCAACAAAACCCTCAAGTATCTGTGCGAGAGACCTGCACAAGCGAAGAAGTAAAAACAGCAGTGCGCTAAAAGACCCGAGCAAAAAGACGGTTTTTTGTACATTTGTTTTAGCAGATGTTTCCTCCAAGACAGTTCAAGGACAGAGTCAACACGTGGAAGCATCCTAGTAAAACTAATGTCGAATCCGTACACCAATCATCCTGGCGGCGTAGGCAATCCTGATATTCGCTGTTACTGAAGATGCATCACTGCACATTGCAACTGATAGCCGAATCGTAGAATGAGAGGATGTGGATGCAAAAAGTTCTCTTTCCGCAATTTGAATTTGTACTTAATCGATGATCATATTGCAAAAATTTCAGATTCTTTGTTCCCCAGGCACCAAAATTGAAAACAGCATGAGGTCGACGAACACACAGACAATATTTCAACAGGAAGCTTTTCTGCACTCAGATGAAAGTCAAAAAATATCAGAAAAAAAAGCATTTTTTATGCATAACAAATTTCTCTACATAAAGCTCAATTTGAAAATCGCATTGGCAGAAAGTACCTCAGTTACCGTGTTGCACATTCGGCAAGGAAAATCCGCTCTTCTCAACTGACCAATGTAATTAGCAAACTGATTCAAATGTAGCTTGCTGGGCCCATTACCATGCACAACCGATGGATAGGTATCGTAAATGAAATTATGGATCTGAAATGGCGGTGAAAACTAGTAAATTTTCACAAAAATCCCCACTTCATCGATTTCGCATTTTCTTAGAAAAGCAACAACTCTTTTGAAACAAAGCGAAAAATAACCCTTTGAAATTAAAGTCATTTTAATGAGAATAAGCGTCTTACCTGGTATGCTTTAGTTTCATCGCTCAGTTGCAAATGGACGTCGTCAGTGGCCCCATTTAAATTTTGAAAAAGTACACCCAACGAGTCCAACGTTATTTTTAACGAATCCTTTAATAAACAAATATTATGCATATTCAATGGCAAATAATGAGTAATGCGCAGTGGTGAGTGGTGCTACCGAAGATAAAGATTGAAGTCCGGTTCCGTTGGTTTTTTAGTCGGATCCATTTGATCCGACCAAAAAAACTGGTGATGGATACGCCTGGCATTCCAAGTCACCATCGGCTTGCTTCTAAGGAACTACGGGAAGAGGCAGTCATCGACCGGTGGGAACCGCTGTTGCCCGATATTACCACTCAGGTTATTTTCAAGTACCTTTGCCGTATTAAGAACAAAAGCAGAGGGAGTTCTGAGTTCTTGTTCGGAATATCGTCGGACTGTTCTTTACAAGAGCTCGAGCACAGACAAAGTTCGACACCCGGGGAATTAATAGTAGGCTGTTTCCTAACACATCTTTCACTGGATGTGGCCACTGCGCAGAAGCGCGGAGGGGTTGAAGCCGTATGTGCTTACAAGTAACGGAAGAAATGGGATGCATCCAAATAATTCTCTTTGGATGGGCGAAAAAGCAGTGTAAAGGAATATCTAATATTAGAATCAGCAGCAAGCCGGTGCAGTTTCAGCTGTAGCAGTTACGGTCAGAGTGCAGTATTGCGGTATGTGTGAATTTTCTGTCTACTGAATAAATACATCGCAATGCAACAAAAACATTTGTACACTTCAAAACATATCTCAAAAATGCACTTACTCGAATTTGATCATCCAAGTACAGGCGTGTGTAATACAACTGATCATCGTCATTATCCTCAACATTTTCGTAACTTATCAGTTTCCAAATTTCAGGAGCGAAACCGATAAAAACACCCGAATTAAGATATCTAAAACAAACCTCTTCCAGTTAGTTACCAGGCACTGCTTTCCCCGCCAAGCGAAAATTTCACTCTCAAGAAGTATGATGGAACCGATGTTAATGCCCTCCTCCCAGCTAACTCTTTTATCAATTATTTAGAAGGCTAAACGAAAAGCACCGCGAAATCGATCAGGAAAAGCCCGCTGAACTTCCAAAAATGAAGCGAGTAATCGAGCGAAGCCTATCCCCTGCCTCTTTGAGCTTTACGAGACCACCCAATAAGGCGATAGCATCACAATCCAGGGCCGACCGAGCAGTGAATCTCTAAATTAAGAAACTTTATGAAGCGAATGGCTTGTGGTGGAATAAGCAACACATTTAATAGTGAGCAAAATCACTGATCCCTGCTATCTAAAGGATAAAAGTTACCTGTATCCAAAATTCACGAGCGGATAAGTTGGCGCCAGGGTTTTATCAGGCCAACAAAATGGTTCAGCGGAAAACACAATACGGTACTCTTCGAAAAGTGCAAAAAATTTCCGCAAAATTTGTTCGCTGTTGTCCAAAAAGATCACATCGTAGCTGCAGCCGTTTACATTAAATTTAACAGTTTTTTGGCAGTTTCTGCACCAGCCGGAGTAAAGACACAGTACTAATTCCCACTGTTCCAAAGAATTAGTTTTTTTTTTTTTTCAGATTTTTTACATTCATATCGTTATCAGTGTGACTGGCACATTAGCACTGCCAACTTTTTCAGCTGTACTCATTTCGGCAGTCGTACACGGATACAACAAGGCTGGCACATTATCACTGCTACTTTCTTTACAAATTGTTTTTGGCAATTTTTGCACAATCGAACATGATGCGTCACTGATTAGCACGAGAATTATCGTCTTAACATGCACTGATTTTTCTGTCACCTTACATCCAAAGTACTATTTATAGCACCTTATTTATTGCGAGGTACTGTGGGGTGCGTTGTATCGGGTTGGCAACCAAAACGCCTGCTCTCAAAAACCC